GTATGCCACAGAAGAAATTTTACCAAGGAGGTGAAAGATTTCTACAAGGAAAACTACAAAACACTGAGAAAATGTTTAAGAGGAGAGAAAGAAATGGACAATCATTTCATGCTCATGGTAGGAATTCATAGCATTAAAATGACCACACTGCCCTAAGCAGTCTAGAGATTCAATACAACCCCCACCAAAATACCAATGTCACCACTCACAGAATTGGAAAGTCCTAAAATTCACAAAAAAGGACTAAAAAAAAAAAAGAGCTCAAAGACCCAAAGTCATCCTCAGCAAAAACAGCAAAACTAGAGGCATCCCATTACACTGCAAATTACAACTACAAAATGTTTGACAAGTGCGTAGTTACCAAAATAGTATAATCCTAGCATAAAACTAGACACTTAGATCAATGCGACAGATGAGAGAACCCAGAAACACAGCCACACGTTCACAGCCAGTTGATCTTTGACAGAGCCGACAGAAACACACTGGGGAAAGGACACCCTCTTCAATGAATGGTACTGGGAGGGTTGGACAGCCACATGCAGAAGAATGAACCCGGACCCTTATCTCTCAGCATATACAAAAATCACCTCGAGATAGATCCAAGACTTGAATGTTAAGATACAAAACTACAAAAACACTGGAAGGAGAAAACTCTTCTGGACCTCACTCTAGGCAAGGAATTTATGACGGGCTCAAAAGCCCGATGTGGAGAAGGATGAGCTGGACGATGGCCCATTGGATGTGTGTCCAGCAGAACCCCTGACAGTACACGAGGGAGCCTTAGAGGCCAGGTTCTTCCTTGCTGTGCCCACGCGGGAAGTGGGGATGCTAGGGTCAGAGGCCGGCCCAGACTTGCACGAGCAGCCTGCCTTGTTTGCAGTGGCACTGGGTCCCTGACTTGCAACTGGAGGTGTCTGCTTAAATGGTCCCCCAGGGATGCGATGGAAAGTAAAGACAAAAGTGCCACCCAACAGAGTTGCTCCCTGTGCCAGGTCCCGCAGTCACCATGGATGTGCTCAGCCTGGGGGGCCCCCTGGTGTTCAGGCCCCCTCATGCCCCATTGCCATGGGTGGTGCTCGGGGCCTTTCTCTTTACCTGTTTTCTTCTGAGGGAACTCAGAGCTGGGGCTGCCTCTCCGCTCCCAAAGCCCGTGGGTGTGGCTGCAGGGCTGCAACTGGCTCCAGAAGTGCCAGGCCTTGGGCTTCTCATGCTGCCCTCCATGCTTGCAGCTGGCAAGGGGGCAGGAATCAGCGAGGTGACCTGGGCTGAGTCCTGGGAGTTGGAAGAGGTGGCAGGAAGGGGATCTGAGAAGGAGAACAGGGGGCCTGGTGGTCTGTGTTTCTTTCCAGACACAGGAGCTGTAGAGGGAGCCTCTGCAGCAGATGCTAGGGGAGCACTGGGCCCCGGGAGTCTTGGGACTTGTGTCTCTCCTGCTATGCATCCATATTGGGTGCTTTAGAAACAGCAGGCAGACCAGAAGCCCCTGTTGCAAGTGAAGACAAAGTGTGGGAAGGCCGTGAGGGTCTGCAGTCCCAGATGGCCTTGGCCTCACCCCGCAGTACACTGTTGATGCACTGGAACGCCGCCTCCTTCTCCAGGTCCAGGTCTTCAGCAGTGACCCGGAACCCCAGCTCTAAGGGAGGTGGCAGCATCAGAGGCTCCCCTCGCCTGCGTGGCAGCAGGGGAAACTTGCGTCTACGGGGCCTAGAGGTCTGGGATCTGGGGGAGCCAGTCCTCGGGGCGAATGTCTGCCCTGGTGCTGTATCTGCCACCTTTTCACACTGGGTGTGACCCAAAGAGGCAGCCTGAGGCCTGGCCTCACTCACTGTCTTTGAGGAACTGAGGGTCAGCTGGCAGTGGGATGAGGCTGGCCCCCCTGTCCTCCTCCGTTTTAGCCATGGGAAGCCTCCCGTGGAGCTGTAGAAGCTCGAGATGGCATTTCGTTCGGGACACGAGCTCATGCAAGAGGTCTGGGATCTCTGGTTATATCTGACTTCTGACCTCTGGGCACCTGCTGCAGCTGTGGTTGAGGCCCGGAAATGTGAAGGGCCGCCATCCACTCCACTCAGTAGGGACCCCGACGTGGGGGTCAATGTGGAGGGGGGAGGGACCGCTGCAGCAGCTGCAGGAGCAGAAGTGCCAGGCCTTGCTCTTCTCATGCCCCCATCCATGCTTGCAGCTAGCAATGGGGCAGGAATCAGCGAGGTGACCTGGGCTGAGTCCTGGGAGTGGGAAGAAGTGGCAGGAAGGGAATCTGAGAAGGAGAACAGGGGGCCTGGTGGTCTGTGCTTCTTCCCAGACACAGGAGCTGTAGAGGGAGCCTCTGCAGCAGATGCTAGGGGAGCCACTGGGCCCCGGGAGTCTTGGGACTTGTCTCTCTCCTGCTGTGCATCCATCCTGGGTGCTTTAGAAACAGCAAACAGACCACAAGTCCCTGTTGCAAGTGAGGACAAAGTGTGGGAAGGCCGTGAGGGTCTGCAGTCCCAGATGGCCTTGGCCTCACCCCGCAGTACACTGTTGATGCACTGGAACGCCGCCTCCTTCTCCAGGTCCAGGTCTTCAGCAGTGACCCGGAACCCCAGCTCTAAGGGAGGTGGCAGCATCAGAGGCTCCCCTCGCCTGCGTGGCAGCAGGAGAAACTTGCGTCTACGGGGCCTAGAGGTCTGGGATCTGGGGGAGCCAGTCCTGGGGGTGAGTGTCTGCTCTGGTGTTGTATCCGCTGCCTTTTCACGCTGGGTGTGACCCGAAGGGACAGCCTGAGGCCTGGCCTCACTCACTGTCTTTGAGGAACTGAGGGTCAGCTGACAGTGGGATGAGGCTGGCTCCCCCATCCTCCTCCGCTTTAGCCATGAGAAGCCTCCCGTGGAGCTGTAGGAGCCCGAGATGGCATTTTGTTTGGTGCACGAGCTCGTCCAGGAGGTCTGGGATCTCTGGTTATATCTGACTTCTGACCTCTGGGCATGGAGGTCTCTCTGCAGTGGCCCAGGTCTGGGCACAAAGGGAGAGAGGCCTCCATTGTCCCGCAGGGGCTGAAATGCAGACCGTGCATCCCCGGTGACCATGGGGACCCTTCTCTGATCATCAGGATTCTCTTGGACTCTGGGGTCCTTGTCCTGCTCAGGCATCCCTGCCCCGCTCTCCTTGAGGTCCCCTCAACAAGATCTTCCCTGGACACGAGTCTGGGGACAGCCAGGTGTTGTGGGCCCCAAAGGGGTGACTCCCTGCTCCTGGCCCCACAGAGATTCCTTGTGCTCAGTGCAGGGGCTGAGCTGCAGGACGCCCTGGAATTGGAGCACACAGCACTGGCTTGCTGTGGTACCTGTACAATCAAATTGAAGGCAGGATCACCAGGAAGGAACACAGGGCTTGAAGGATCACGGAAAACCTTCTTGGAGTTGTCTTGACACCACTGATGCCAAGTGTCCGGGTGCTTGTAGGATGGCCTGCCACTCCGTCCAGGGACAGGAGCAACCGGGAGATCCCACAAGCAAAGTGAACTGGGGGATGGGCTGAACGGGCTCCAGGCAACTGAGCCCTACTGGCAGGTCCTCGGCCGCAGGCCGGGACAGGAATAAGGGGCACAGAGTGCCCAGGTAACCGCTCCTGGGAGCAGTGGGGAACCGTCCAACGCTTGAACTCTCGAGAGCTGAGCTCTGAGGTCCTCGTCGAGCTGCCAACTCGGCCGAAGGCTAAGCGAGCAGTTCTTCTGTTGCCAGGCAACGCGCCTTTTAAACCTGAGGGAGTGGGTGCGCGTGCACAGAACGCCGCGAGTAATAGAGCGACCTTAACGGATTAGCCTGGCAAGATACCGGCGGGAAAGGCACCTGCTGGTTGCCAGGCAACGCATCTTTTAAACCTGAGGGAGTGGGTGGCGTGCACATAATGCCGCGAGTGACAGAGTGACCTTAAGGGATTAGCGCGGCAAGGTACCTCTGCAAGATACCTGCTGGCAATGGCGCCAGGCGGACGTGGGGAGTGGGTACGCAATAGGTAGTGGAAGGAGAGACTCCCGCACAAAGGTCGCAGGAAGAACAAGCGCCCACAGTGGCTGCAGATCCGCTAGTGGATCACTGAAGGTTCCTGCTCTCCCGCTGAAGTGGAGATTGTAGTGAACTGAGATTACACCATTGCACTCCAGCCTGGGCAACAAGAGCAAAACTCCGTCTCAAAATAAAAAAAAAGAAAAAGAAAAAAAGAGACCGGGCGTGGTGGCTTATGCCTCTAATCCTAGCGCTTTGGGAGGTCGGGCGGACAGATCACGGAGATCAGGTGTTGGAGACCAGCCCGGCCAACATAGTGAAACCGAGTCTCTACTAAAAATACAAATTTAGTCAGGCATGGTGGCACGCGCCTGTAGTCCCAACTACTCAGGCAGCTGAGGCAGGAGAATCACTTGAATCAGGGAGGCAGAGGTGGTTGTGCGCCGAGATCGCGCCACTGCACTCCAGCCTGGACAACAGAGAGAGGCAGGCTCCCTCTTAAAAACAACAGGAAAAAAGAGGTGAATGGTTATGAATTTAATGCACTTTTATGCCTGTGTTCTTCAATTTGCTTAGGAAACACCCACACTTGAGAGCTAGACTGTGGTTCTGACTGTGGACATGAAATACATGGTTTCTCGCAAAAAATAGATACTGAATAATTACGATTTAGTTGAACTAGAAATCCATTCGGTTTCTTCCATATTTTTCCAAAAAAAATTTTTTTTTTTTGAGACGGAATTTCGATCTTGTCGCCCAGGCTGGAGTGCAATGGCGGATCTCAGCACTTGCTGGCAATGGCGGGAGGCTGGGGGACGCTCCTGCAGTAGGTACTGGAAGGAGAGGCGCGCACAAAAAAGGCATTGTAAGAGGGGGGTGCACAATGGCTGCAGATCCGCCAGTGGATCACTGAAGATTCCTGCTCTCCTGCTGAGGAGAGCTGAGATCGCACTATTGCACTTCAGTCTGGGCAGCAAGAGCGAAACTCCGTCTACAAAAAAAAAAAAAAAAAAAAAAAAAAAAAAAAGAAAGAAAAGAAAAAAAGGAGGCCAGGCGTGGTGGCTCATGCATCCCAGCACTTTGGGAGGTCGGGACAGGCGGATCTCGAGATCGGGAGTTGGAGACCGGCCTGGCCAACATGGTGAAACCTCATCTCCGCTAAAAATACAAAAATTAGCCAGGCATAGTGGCACGCGCCTGTAGTCACAGCTACTTGGGCGGTTGAGGCAGGAGAATCATTTGAACCCGGGAGGCAGGGATTGTGGTGGACCGAGATCAGGCCACTGCACTCCAGCCTGGACAAAAGAGTGAGACTATGTCTGTTTTTTTGTGTTTTTTTGTTTTTTTGTTTTTTTTGAGACGGAGTCTCCCTAGGCTTTCTCCTGCCTCAGCTTCTGGAGTAGCTGGGACTACAGGCGGCCGCCATCACGCCTGGCTAATTTTTTGTATTTTTACTAGAGACAGAGTTTCACCGTGTTAGCCAGGATGGTCTCGATCTCCTGACCTCATGATCCACCCGCCTCGGCCTCCCAAAGTGCTGGGATTACAGGGGCAAGCCACCGTGCCCGGCCCGGAGTTTTTTTACGATTACTCAAATCAGTCTCCTTGAGCATTTGAGGAGCAGAGTTTGTGAGGACAGCTTGGTGGGTCGGGGGAAGCCAGTGGGCCAAGAGTGCTGATTGGTTAGGGATGAAATCAAAGGGAGTTGAAACTGTCTTATTGAGCTGAGTCAGTTCCTGGGTGGGGGCCACAAGATCAGATGAGCCAGTTAATCCATCTGGATGGTGCCAGCTGATCCATCAAGTGCAGGGTCTGCAAAATTTCTCCAGCACTGATCTTAGGAGCAGTTTAAGGAGGGTCAGAATCTTGTAGCCTTCAGCTGCATGACTCCTAAACCGTAATTTCTAATCTTGTGGCTAATGTGAGTCCTATGAAGGCAATCTAGTGCCCAGACAAGAAGAAGGTCTGCTTTGGGAAAGGGCTGTTACCGTCTTTGTTTTAAACTATAAACTATAAACTAAGTTTCTCCCAAAGTTAGTTCAGTCTACACCCAGGAATGAGCAAGGACAACTTGGAGGTTAGAAGCAAGATGGAGTTGATTAAGTGAGATCTCTCACTGTCTCAGTCATAATTTTGCAAAGGCAGTTTCAATCGTGATAAGAGTGGATTTCCTTGTCTCATTTTTGATCCTATGGGGAAAATATTCAGTCTTATGTCATTAAGTATAATAGCTACAGATATTTCATGTATGCCATTTATCAAGTTTAGTAAATTCTCCTCTATTTACGTGGAGTTTTGCATTTTTTAAATCAGGAATGAATGTTGCCTTGCCAGCATCTATTGTTTCTCAACTTTTTAATCATCGCAATTCCTACTGGCATGAGATGTTATCTCATTGTGGTTTTGATTTGCATTTCTCTGATGATCAATGATGTTGATATATAGACCAGTGGAACAGAACAGAGACCTCAGAAATAACACCACACATCTGCAACCATCGGATCTTTGACAAGCAATGGGGAAAGGATCTTCTATTCATTAAATGGTACTGGGAAAACTGGCGAGTCTATGCAGAAAACTGAAACTAGACCTCTTCTTTACACCTTAGAAAAAATTAACTCAAGCTGGATTGGACTTTACTATCATGTTCTGATTGGATGAGAGCAAGCACTAGGACAACCAATCTGAGCATGAAAATAAAGTCCAATCAGAGTAGGCCTAGAGGTTTTTCTCTCATCCAATCAGAACATGTAGTCCAGGAATCCCATTGCCTAACATCAGTATAGGAATCCTGCTGAGGTGGGGAGTGAGGCCATGCTTTCCTGCCTAAGCCTGCCAAGCTGTTCGGTGCTAGCTTAGGAAGCCACCTACTACGTACTACACGCCGGAGGCTGGAGGCTGGAGGCCGGAGGCCGGAGGCTGGAGCTCACGGGCACTGTGGCTCTCCTCACGCCTCGCCTCGCTGTGGTAGGTGGCGGCTACCGAGACTGCAGCGTCCCGGGAGCGATAGGAGGGCCGCCAGCAGGGAGAGCTGCTCCTGTCCGGCTAGAGGATGAGGAGATGGGAGAGCAATGTGCCCCACGTTGGAGGCTGGGGCCTGTGACAGCGCACCTCCCCTCGCTGCGGTTGGTGGCGGCCACGGAGATGGCAGCGCAGCTGAGGAGGTAGGAGAGGAGAAAATAGTTTTGGGGTAGATGGAGGGGTAAAGAGGGTGGTGAGTGTCCAAGGGAAAAAAAGGACGGCGAGCAGGAGAAGGCGTTGCAGACCGAGGGTGAAGAAGATGGTGGAAAAATAAGTTTTTGGGTAGATGGAGGGGGAAAAGAGGGTGGTGAGCAGCAGGGGTGGGGAGAAAGCTTTGGGAAAAGATGGGGGAAAATGTTTTTGGGTGGATGCAGGAGCAAAAGAGGGTGATGAGAGCGCGACGGGGGAAGAGGGTGGCCAGGGAGAGGGGAAAAGATGGTGCTGAGCGGTAGAGTGGAGAGGGCTTTGCGAAAAGTTGGTGGGGGAAAATGGTGGGGAAAAAGTTTTGGGGTAGATGGCAAAAGAAAAAGGGGTGGCGAGAGGGAGGGGGCCGAAAGCAGTAGGGAAAAGAAGGTGGGGAAATAATGGTGGGGGACCAAAGGTTTTGGGTAGATCTTTTTCTGATTTTTAAATTAGATTACTTGTATTTTTGCTTTTCAGTAGTCTTGCTTTTTGTGTATTAACCGCTTGCCTGATGCATAGTTTGCTAATACTTTCTTCCATTTTCTGGATTGTTTCTTCATTCCACTGATTGCTTCCTCTGCTTTGCAGAAGCTTTTAAGTTTAATGTAATTCCATTTGTCTATTTTTTGCTTTTGTTGCTTGTACTTTTGATGTCTGTTTGAAAATTCCTTCTCCTAACCAATTTCATTAAGCATTTATCCTATGTTTTCTTCTCTAGTACTTTCATAGTTTCAGGTCCTACATTTAAATCTTTATGTTGAGTTGAATTTTGTATGTGATAAGATAACGATGTAGATTTATTCTTCTACATATGAGTGTTGGGTTTTCCTAGCACAGTTTATTGAAAAGATTGTTATTCCAGAGGGTGTGTTCTCTGTGCCTAGGTTAAAAATGAGTTGACTGTAAATGCGTGAATTTATTTCCGAGTTCTCTATTTTGTTTCATTTATTTATGTCTGTCTGTCATTTGTCTTTCTCTCTCTCTCCCTGCCCCTTTTTTTGACAGTGCCATGCTGTTCTGATATGATACTATAGATTTGCAGTTACTATGGATTTATAGTATATTTTGTAGTATATTTTGAAATAAGTGTGATGCCTCCAGTCTTTCTTTTT